CATTCGTAGACTTACTTCTGGAAAACTGTTCATTTTCATTTTAGTTAGGACGTATCCCATCATTCCTCCAACCGGATTTACTCTCACTGTCACAACTTATTAGTGAGATGATAACTAAGTGTCTACAGCCCCCACTGGGGAATCAGAGACAAAAACAACAGTTACGATAAGGGAAGGACAGAAAATATTGGTTTAATTAATGGAAATATGTAGACTTTTTCATTACCCTTTTTTGCATTTTTATTTTAAAAATTATTTTTTATTGAATTTGGAATAAATTAAAAGGCAAAAGTGGAAATTCCTACAACAATTGTTATTGCCGTTGCCAATGACCCTAAAGAAACATATAAAAGGTATTGCCGTCTGACTTCCAGTATTGTTTTGTTCACGCGACCGGAACCAATCAACGCGCGCCCGGAAAATATAGACCCTATCGACTTAGGGAAACGAAACGAAGTAGGTAACGAAACGAAGTATTTACCAATCAGCGCACAGACTAATCCCAACTACAGTACAGGTTGCGAAAACATTCAAACAGAAACTGTGGATTCGACTATCAAAACACAAAACAGAGATCCATATAAACAAAGAAGCAGGGCCCAACGTGCAGGTCACCCAAGTGGGCGGATAGATTACGTTTGTAGTACCTCAAGCTGTAATTATATACAGAGAATGTTATCGTTTATCATGTTCATACCTCTGGTACCTATGGGCTGTCCATAATTAAAGCCATTCAATCTGTATCGAATGACAAACCTCATTAATGGTAAGGCCCAAAAATGAAATACAAAATTGCCCTATATCGAAAAATATCAAACAAACTTACAAGCTAGCTAACAATATTACGTTATATTATAATACAGTAATAACGTTGCCGTTTGGTATTTAAATCGCGTTGTTTGTAGAACCATAAATTAAATACGTATTTACAACGTAATTCTGACACGTCAAACGTTAACGTCATTTTTTTTACATAACCTAACCACAACATGCTGTAACTTTTGTGTTTGCTGGAAGAGGCCATGTAATTTATAACAACGACAAAGCAAACAACACCCGTAAATTCATCATCAAACATTCTTAATAAAAATCAACATATTTTCATAAGAGAAGAACGCTTCTGTGTACAACCTTACGAAATTGAAACCATGATATATACTTGTATGTTGTTGAAAACGGAGGCGCTTAACATCTGTTAAGCATAGGCCTAAAGCGTGATATTCACCATGTACCCCAACGAAGAACCTTGAACATAACTTTAAGGCCAGGGAAACGGAAACAAGACTTGATAATAGTCTTGACAATAAGTGGATAATATAACTTAATAGATCCTATCGAACTCTTCCTTCCTTAATTCAACGATGAGGCATTAGGTATTATTACACGGTATTTTCACTCAAAGTGTACTGTCTGATCTCAGTGATTAGCAATAATGTAAAATGGTTGAGGTACTGTTCTAGATCATTAGTTATTTGGGTTGGGTCCATGGGGGACTCACGGGTCCAGAGGATCATTAATTGAGCAGTACACCAGAAGACAATCCCATGCCTCCCAGCGGTAGCGCCAGAAATTTGCCGACAAGGGGTCGGACATGTCCGACATAGGGGTTCGAGCCAAAGGGCCGACGGAGCATCGGTCGACGGCCCGGAATAAAAACTCCTTGTAAGGTTGTAAGGTTCACGGGGAGAGTTTTCATGGCTTATTATAATCCAAAATGTGCTTTTAGACCACAATATTAGGAATTGACAGTCAAAATAACGTTACTTGGATAGGCAAATTATTATTTTCATTTTTGATCCGACGAACTAGTCGTGCGTCGGACGACAGGGGGTCCAGTCCTGTCCGACGGAGGGGAAAATTCCCCTGCCCCCGCTGGCGCCACCACTGATTCCTCCTTTCTTTCCGAGTAACTCTGGGAGCATGGTCACTTTTTTTCACCTTAAAGGGGTTGCCTATGAGAGTCAAATGTAAGGGAAAATATTGCCCAGGTTTACGGGTCCAGGGGAGGAGATGTTGGAGTCAGGGGGAAGTAGGCCTAAGTGTTGAATTTCATTAACATTTTCATGATTTCTTTTTATATACTGGCCTGTTTTTAAAGGGATTTTTTTTCTATATAGAGTTGTATATTGTTAACCCTATGTCTGCTACTCTACAATAATTCATATCAAAAGTTAAGTAGATACGACTTTTATTAACCTTCTTATTTATATCTGAAGTGAAGATATAACAAAGTAAATGCCTACAATGTATCTCACGATAATCATGATGAATGGTAGAACGCATCAACCAGGCCAAGTACGCCTACGAATAAACATTCTTCAAAGAAAATATACAAAGAGAGGTTAAAAATAAATAAGCCTGTAAATGGTATATCGATGGGTATTGTTTTTTGAGTTGTGAGAAACTCGTTAGGCAAATTTTAGTTTCTGACCGGAGTACCTTGTTAAATCAAAAAAAAAAAAACTTTCCTACAAAATATAAGTTCAATATAGCTAGATGGTAATGGCGCCGCGTACTACACAGAGTGTAGAACTCTATTAGTGCACGAACAGACAGTAGCTGTTTAAACTAGTTATATATGATAATTAAATTACTAGGCCTTATTTCTGATCGATTTAAACCATGGAGAAACGCTCTGTTGTCGTGGCGGCAGTCAACGAGGGTAGATGAGTCCTTTTGATGCTTGATGGGGGCCTACTAAACAGCAGACCGTATTTGACCGTGAACCATGGTACTAATGAGGCAAACGCAGTACAATAATTATTACTTCTATAAACAAATATCAAGAACCGATACGAAAGCGATAAAAAAAAAATAGACCTAGGTCCCATTTAATTCAATCAAGTTTGAGCAATATGAACAGGAGCCTTCAGTATTGAAATTGTGTTCACTATGGAAGAAAAAAATCGGACGGATTATCATAATCCAGAGGTTTCACCAATACACAATCGTATCTCTATACGTGGTCTTTGAATACAATATAAACAATTCCATTCAGTTTCCAACGCACCATGCCCCCTTAGCCACAGTCTGATTGCTTTTTGTCCAAACCACTAAAAATTCGGAACGGTCACCCAACTATGTTTTAAAGTCAGGATCCGGAGTAATGCTACCACCAATGCCTATATAATTAGGGACCCAGTTGTTTGCAGCGCTCGTTCTGACAGCGCTTAACAACCTATGAAAATCTTATCAGCAAAGTGTATTATACTTTTAACAGAAATTTTAAACCCGTATCTGTATCTCATTTTTAAGACGCTCCGGAGTTTTTCGTCAAATGTGGCTTTTGTGTCTTAGCAAAATCAGTTGTATAGGCTTAACATCAAACATTTTTCCCTCCGGGAATAAAAACAGCAATTAGGCCTAAGTATTTCCAATATTAACGTACGTATAGGCATACCATTAATTTTACATTATGCTGTGCGTTTAATTCAATTCAGGTTTTATTGTCTAAAAATGAAATACAGAGTGGAAACAATTAATTGCATTTAACAATTCCACAGAAAAACAATTACATACAGTTTCACCATTTAAACATATAAAACATTGTTAAAACCTTATATTAAATATGATACAGTAGCTTTTTAGACCAATACGGGGCCAATATACTATGCAAATTAAAGTGTTTCAGCTCCTCTTATTAAAGTGCTAGATACTATGTTGTTTTCATGAACTGGCCTTGCCTATACGGAAAGTAATTTGTGTTTTAATGAATATAAGTTGAACATTTAACGATGACATTAATCACCTGCTAAGTACACCCTTTGCGCATGCCCTGATAATCTTCATAATCTAAAGACGGAATACTGGATGACAACAACAGTTGTAGTCAGGAAGAGGACGCTACTTTTGTGGAATAATTGCTGTTTTTTAAAACGCAACTCTGTCAAAATTGTTTTTTCGTCTGACTAATTCAGCCAAAAATGAATTACTATTATACTTGTAGCATCTGTTGTGTGTCTCTTATTTTTTAAATATTGCCATCCGATATGTAAGCACAGTTTTTAGAAACGTGTCTTTTTTTTTCTATGATGAGGCCTATTTAATAACGGCTCACGGAAGTAGTCACTGATGGGTAATGAAATGTCATTTGAAAGATATAATTCATAATGAACATGATTTCGGATTTCTGAGTGAAGAGTTTTAACATATTCACGTATAACGAATACAAAGATAGGCCAACAATTTCATAGGTCTTTATTTCAACTTCTCCAAGTTTTATCAATTAACAAGTTATTTTCTCCCAATAAAAAAGTAAACATTTAGTTGGCCTATAGAAAAGGTTAAAGGTTGGACCTATTGCATCAGTATTAACAGGAAAATTTTAAATGATGAAAACTAATAACTTCAAATCATCATCGAATTTTGTTTTTATTTCTTTTGCTTCATCAAATCATTCTTTATTATTGAATCAATATTGGTTTTCAAATGAATACATAAAGTTAAAGCCCGGGTCACGGCATCACAACAGTCATGTGCATGCAGGGAACACACACAAAAGAATCAACAATTACACGCAACGCTGAGGAGAAAATTTACAGTTTGAAATTCAAACATTATTACAGTAATTGTTTTATATGTTAGGTTGGTATTCTTGAACTCCTAAACCCTCTCCAACCCCTGCTACAGGCCTGTAAACCAGGATCCCTTAATTTCGACTACAAATGCATGTCTTGAAATCCTGGAACGAATTTCGTGGTATTTCTTTTCTGTCTCGAAGGACCCGGTTCCCGTTCTTTGTAAATAAAGTGTGGGATATTAGGCCGTCATCATCACATTCGCTTAACATGCGTTCATACGCCCTTTTAACTAAATATTACAAGCAAACAGTCATCACACTGAGAAATTCTAATTAAAAGACTCAAATAATATACAGTTTGGTTTCTATAGCTAAAAATGGTTATTAGTAGTCTGTACTGTACTTTGTTCGTCTAGCACACAGTGAGGGCGCTATCACACATGAGGCATATTGTCAGCAATAATTACAATAGCACCAAATATTCTTGATTCAAAATCTTTAATTCGACACTATAACATTAATACCATAATAAAATTCACAAAATTTACAACCCACAAGTTAAAATAGGTATATATCACGTCAGAGGAATGCATTATCTAAAAACGTCATTCATTCAATATTAAATACAATGCACTATTCATACAATAGTAATAAATATACAATAGAAATTACTATTTTCATACTCAATATCATACTGGTGGTTTGTTTCAAGTATGCTTAATTCTACATATTTACTTTTGTTACTAATTTAATTATTAGAAAATTACCAAAAAACATTTCAGTTTGAATTTTCAAGATATATTACTGTATACTGTACTCATGGTACAGTAGTACTAAAGTTAATTTATATAAAACATCAGATATATAACTAACAATTTTACCTGAAATTTAATATAAGGCTGAAGAAAATGCTATTTTCATTTTAGAAAGATAATTGAGAGCTTTTCTTAGAAGCAAGTATATAGATATAAAAGATTTACACTTATTCTAGTCTTGCATTAAATTAAACACGCCTTTATTGTATCCCTGGAAAGACAATATTATTTAATCATACCTGTCTTTACAAATAATGCTGAAACATGGACACCCAGTAAAAGTCTAGAGAACAAAACTAAGGGTCACAGAGAGGGCTACGGAAAGAATAATGGTAGAAAATACACTGAGGGGAAATGCAGGATTATTAAGACAATTATATCAAAGAAATGGAGAAGGGATGGTCATATAGGTAAGGTAGAAGGATGACAGATGCACATGGGAAAACCACAAAGTAGACCCAAGCAACCAAATCAAATGACGGGGAAGGCAAAACAGACGATGGATGGATGAAATCACTGCATTTGGAGGTATTAATCCAGATGCACACAGCACCTATAGTCATTAGCCAATGCAACTCCTGCAAATGATTTTACATTAATGATCATTATTTTAGTAACATAAATCTAAGTGGGGTTTATATAATTTAAAATTCAACTAAATCACAAATTCTTATCATAATTAATAATAGCACAATTACCTTAATCTGTACTTCTGGAATGTTTTCTTAATGTATCAATGGAATGAATGTAGTACAATGTTTTAAAGGTTGGAGGAGAGGGTGAAGGGGTTAAGAGGGTGGAGTGAAGAGAGAGAAAGTGAAAGCAAGAATAAGAGGGGTGAAGATAAAAAATTGATAAAGGAACTATGTTTAGAGAATGTAAAGAGGGAAGGAAAAAAATGGCTAGGTAAAAGGGATGAAGAGGGAAATCTAAAGAGGGATAAAATGAAAATAGATGGGTGAAGAGGAGGCGGCTAAGATGGGTAAAAAGAGTGAAAACATTTCTATGAAGGTGATGAAATTCAAGTGCAGGTGAACATGGTGAAGAAAATAGGCTTATGAGAAAGAGGTAAGAGAAGAGGGTGACGACAAGTGGGTGAAGAGGTTTAGCAAGGGGAAAACAGAATACTCAAATATTACTACATTAGTTTAACATTCACCTTTGGTCATCAAACACCAAATATATTCATATAAGTTATTGCAATGTATTCTCTAGAAATAAATGTTACAGCTGGTAGCTTTGAAATTAAATAATTTCACATTTCATTTCAATACAATTTGCATAAAAGTATCGAAGTCCACCTATTCTGCTGCAGTAGTTGAAAGCTTCATTTTTGCACATTACTATCATCATAATTATTATAATCAACATTAATTTTGAAGTACAGTACTATTTTTTTTTGGTTTTAATTTAAAATACTGTATGTCAAGTTAAATGCCTTTCTTATCTGTACTTAGATCATTCTAGATCACACTCTGTCTATTCAGATCAGATCCACTGGAGTAAGTGTAGTGCAAATGAGATAGTTGCAGCAATCAAACCAAACAAACCAATGTAACCATATACTCCCTTCAGACGTTTCTCCGGATCTGAAATAAGGAAGGTAATGTATCATAGAGAATGGATAGATTCATTGGCAATGCATGTTTGATAGTCTCTTGTCCTACTAGCAATGTGACTAGTTGACAAAGTGGTATGGTTTGGTCTCTTACTTTGAAGTCAGGGGTTCAAATCTTAAACCCTCCAATGCTCTTTTGTCCTTGAGCAAGGCACTTTACCTTTCTCTTTTAGGATGAAATAGTTAAGTACTGTACTAAGCTAACTGCACGCCTAAGAATACTCACACTTCCTAAGAAGCAGGAAAGGATAACCATTCTGCATGATATTAATAATGCACACGAATAGAGATGATAAAGCACTATGAGTTCCTATTGTTGGTGGAAACTGGAGACCATCATCATATAGTTTTCATATTCTAACTTTTCATTTTAAAGTATCTTTCAACTATTCATTAAACAGTAAAAATAAATAGTATACAGTAGTTTAAAAAAGCAAGATATTTAACATTATTACATAACTACAGTATTTTGCATGGAAAGGAAATTACCACCCTACCACACAATACTGAGGCTTAGTAAGATGGGCTAACAGCTGATTCCCATAAGTTTAAAAATGAATACGGGACTACCTTTACCTTTACCTACAGTATTTTGTTTATGTGGTAATAAGGATCTTGGTTATTATATGTACAGTATATAGTATTTTATTGCACATTTTAATTTTTTTTTATATATATTATAATTTATGTTATGGTAAAATTCTGTCAATTTTGCAATTTTTGTTAGCTTGGTTGTTAACATGCTCACTTTATCAAGTACAGCATCCATCAAAAACAAAATACACAAAAACAGAAAACAGTCTAAACAGGTCAGAACGTGTATTCTGAGGTTTTATCATTTGCTAGTAGTTTATGGAGTGGAGCAGGTGGATCAGTTGCCTGCTTTATTCAAATCCTGTAAACACCCGTTTTTTTTTTTCACATGACTAAAAACAACTCCACTCAATTAAGCCTCATAATTGCACTGTGCCTATAGAGCATTACTGTACTTTAAATGGCCATCTGTCTGTTCGATATTTCTTTATTCAAAAAAACAACATTTAAAATTCATAAAATATGGCAGCACTTAGATGCATCTGCATCTCGAGCTGAATTGCATTTCATTATAAGATATTTAAGGCCAAACAGAAAAAAAAATCAAATCCATCAAATCCATCAATTAAGGTAAGTGTGCCGCTCAAAGTTTTTAATCATTAATTAGCTTGGTACAAGGTATGGTAAACTTAAAGGACTGTTCATGTGGCGCACCACATTGCAAGCAATGTTACGAAGCCTATCAGCAAATCGTCTATTGTATCTGGGAACAGAATTACCTCTAACAGGCAATAATGAAAATAATTTAGAATATCTAACAGGCAATAATGAGAACAATTTAGAAATTTTGTTTGGTAGTTTGTCACCTAATGATTGATAAAAATAAAATGTAAATTTAAAAATTCAAATATTTTAAAAAATAATAATAATTCACAAGACTTCTATAGATTGCATTCTAGCCATCCAAATGAAGAGATTATCTTAACTGATAGAACTGAATTGAATTACCTTGAGGAATAAAGCAACAGACCACTTAATATTTCAGTTAATTTTAATAAAATGTTTAATCATCACTTACCTCCGGTGTAGTAGCCAAAAGCATATGACAAGCGACTCACAATCCAAATTAGACCACACACTATGCAAACACCCTATAAACACAAACAAAACATTTATCAATTTTTTGTTCTCTATTTTAATTTAATATTATTTCTAAAATTAGTTGTAAGAAAAGCAAACAACTTACTGGATGCTGAATGCCACCAAGTAGAAGGAAAAGTAGGAAATATGGAATCTGCTCAAGCCTAGAAAAAGAGAAACACTTTTATTTCTGAGGATTTTCTAAATTTTAATCTCATCATCATCCTTATCATTATTTAATCAGTAATAATAAGCATCTTCATCAACACTACCTTCATCTTCATCAATATCAATTCCATACCACCATCCTCCTCAACCAAATCTCTTCATCAACATCAATCATAGAAATAAAAAACATCCTTAATGGCCATAACATTTAAAAATTCCCATCAAAACTTACCTCCTCACCACAATCTTCTCTTCATCTGCATTTTCTTTTTAATCATAATCAACCTTGTTAGTTACCATGCTCTATGTAATTTTAAAAATTCTTATTCAACATTCACTCACCAATATCCTAAACGGTTGCACTTTTCTGATCAGTTTCACAATAATGTCTATAATCAGCTTTCCTTTTTATTTACATTCTCATCAAACATCATTTTCTTTAAAACAAACATCTTTCTCAGTTCCAATTTTTATCAATTAGCATCACAATATTCACAATCATCTAAATTGTAATATCCTTATCATTGTGATGGTATCAACCAGTGGTGGCTCCAGAATTTGCGATGAGGGGCCGACAAGTCTTAAAGCGGAGTCGGAACTAGAGCCTTGATCAGGGTCCCAGAATAAAATTTCCTTATAGTCTTCATGGGGAGAGATTTTTGGCTTACTTTAGTATGGCCCAAAATTGTAATTATAGACCACAATATTAGGGATTGGCAATCAAAATAACATTTTGGATAGGCAAATTAATTTTTTCCATCCGACGACCTCATTGTCGCATCCGAGGTGTGGGGGTGGTATTCCCCCTGCCCCCACCACTGTTATCAACACATCATTAAGGTTGCTTACGTGTTCTGGTGAGCTCTTTGGTAGCAGTTAAACATCGGTTCTTTGCTATCATACATCAAAGGGTACTGCAGAGGTGGAGCAAAGATTGTAAACAAATTATTCAGTGGTTCATAAAACTTAGGTCACTACAACAATTATAGAACATTTTCAGAACAATAAATCTAAATGTCCAAAAACAAAACAAAAAATCAACAGCATGACCATGACCTGATGATAAACAACTAAATACAAATAAATTATATTTATTATTAACTGCAATTAAAGTCATTTATAATTGTCTGAAATTTTTTCCATAGTAAATAATTTTCTATGACTGTAAATGCTCTAGGAAACACTCAAATGAATTTCTATAACTTTCACTACTTTCCTCAATGCATGCAATACAAACATACCCTGGATTATAGTCTTTGATTATGTAAATGATAGGCCCCAGACTGTATACAGTACAGTAGTGAGGCTTGCACTGGGAATATATTATGCACATAAACATTTTAGCCTATAAATCTGTCAGCGCATTTCAGAAAAAAAGGGCCGATTTCTGTGCAGATTTTCCAAAAATTAGGCTTTGACCAAAGCTTAACCAATGCAATTAAGCAGCAATTACGATTCTGCGCACCTATTTCCCTTGTGATTTTCCGCACAAATTAAAACTGATTTGTTTTAGATATCTTTCATGCAATTAAAAAACTTTACAGTATGGGATCGGTTTAATTTCTTGCATGGTCCTACCCGACACTGTAATTAATAATGTATGGTGTACTGTATTAGTAGGCCCAACTAGTCCAGGGCCTATATAGGCCTAGTATAAGTTAGGCTGTAGTTATGCTTACGCCGAAGAGGTCGAAATCCAAATGCGCCGACTGATTGGCTTTATACAGTACCCTAACTATTAATAACTCCCCTAGGGTTGGCCTAGCTAGAGGCCTATATTATTAAAGTTTCATCCACGCAACCCCACTTCTCGTAGGTTACTGCTGGAGAAGTGTTAATACAAATTAAAAATTAACACATTACATTAACATAGCTAACAAATTTAGGCCTAGCCCATATCTAAGGTCTAGGAGGCCGGACCTAGCTAGTTAGGTCTAGGGCCTAGCACAGGTACGTATCCTAGAGTATGCCAGCCACCCCTAGCCAATACCTAGCCTAGCTAGGCCTAGCCTAGGCCTACTTACTTTCACACCATACTTCTTTCGAGCTTGGCCCACTTTCGCACCAAGGTAAGTAACCATAATCCAGCTAATCAATGCTGTTAAAACAATAAAACCATACTCCGGTGGAAGATCAATAGCCATTATTCTTTTTGTATTTATGTCTTTGTTTAGCCAAAAAATTACATGTGCAACCAACCTGTCTTACTGACTGTTCACTCGGCCCTATCGGCTAAAAATAAGTGGTTTAAAGTTGAAGCGCCCTCATGTGTTTTAGTATAATGTGAATTGTCAGTACAAAAAACCGGTGTACGGTAAGAATGGCCCCGGAAAAAATGGCCCCGGAAAAAATGGCCCCGGAAATAATGGCCCCGGAAAAAATGGCCCCGGTAAAAATGGCCCCATATGACAGGTAGGTAAAAATGGCCCCAATAATCAAATTCTGAATTACAACTGATTTTCTTAAGTCATTATATGCATTTTTTTATCTTAACTAATTTAGTTTTTAAAAGGAATCTCCCCAATAATCAAATTCTGTATTAAAACTGATTTTCTTGAGTCAATTATATGCATTTTTTTTATCTTAATTAATTTAGTTTTTAAAAGGAATCTAACATCAAACAAATTGCCATTTACATTTTACTTTTTGCAAGAATTAATATTCAATGATAAAATATTCAAAGATAAATAAAAAGCCATGAATTACACTTTTTATTTTTTTTTCAATTTAAATGTTAAAAAATAGCAACAACATAATCAATAAATCAACATAAATAATGCATTTATTAATACTAAAATAATTTACTTGTGGCCGATTTCGCGGAAGCAGAATCACAATTTTCCAGAAATTCAATCTGTGTATTGGTAAACCCCACTAACAGTGGGTTGAACATCAAATTATTATTTTTTTTTTTTTTAAGAAAAAGAGAGTTCTACAATCATAATTATTGATATACCAAGTCAGTCAATCACAATTGAATTGTTTGATTTTCTACAATGTGTTTGTGGGATTTAGCAATACCACTTAATCCTACCATAATCACCCTACCTTCACAATCGCACGCCATTTTAATTCTTAGCATAATTGCCATACATAACTATATATAATTCTAAGCCAGTAGTAGGCACTTGGATTTAGTTAGTGATGAGTAAAAACCAAGTATGCAACTAAATTAGTTGCTTAAATAAATGTATTCCTAATTATTCAGTTTACTAAAAGCAATACTTCTTTGAATAAACTCTAAGCAGAAAATTTATTTGCTAAGTTTGCGAGAAAGTAAGACTCTCCCTTTTCCCATACATGAACTTGTGATTCAAACACACAATTGATCCACATGCTTTAACTACTGTTTATTTGCATTGTTTATAACATTTAAAGTTAATTCATTTGATATTTAACAAAAGTGAAGTTTGTGATTATGTGCATATTTTGGTAGTTGAAGTAATGTATACTGTATGTCATTCCTCTACTTTGTTAGTGAAATAACGTTTTTAAAACTTTTTTTCTACTATCAAAAAATGTTATTCAATGGCCATCGTTTTTCGATTATCTCTCAAAACATTATTTGCATCTGCTGTAATTGTTAAAAAAAACAAATGCTTTTAAAGAAATTTAAAAAAATCACATTTTGATCTCAGTTCAAAGGAAAAAATAAAACTTATTTCTAAATTTACAATTTTCCCCTATAAACCTCTTAATTTCACAAAAGAGTGGGTTCTTTTCCAAACAAACACATCCTGCCTAGGTGGTTTAGATTAGATCTTTTGCTTTAACTTTGGAAACTGAGATCATTTTAGATACTATTTCTGTATAAACTAATTTTTTTTTTCATATTAGTGTAAACCTAATGGGTTTTGATAAATTTACTCTGCACTACGGAATTTCCAATAAAAAAAAAGAAAATTAATTAAAAAGACCATAGATTAAAAATAAGTAAGGCGTAACATATTTTTAATCTATGTTAAAGCATAACTATTTTTACATAATGAAATTTAGTAAATTAAATTATTATTTGTGGCTTTTATTTATTAAATCAATTAAGAACATAATCTCATAACAAAGTTTAATGACAAGAAAGATCGACGTTTCGTGTCCATCATGGAACCATTCTCAAGATCAAGTAAATTGAAAAAACTAAAAACAAAAATACCAAGCAGTGACAGGAAGTAAGTAATTAATTTACATATCAACAGGGCCTACTTTAAGACTTGAATATCACGCTCGCTGTTTGATTCTTGTGGACTAATTTACATAACAATCCGCAGTGACGGGTGATATCTACGGTTGTGGTTTGCTTCATTAGTCGCTTTTCTAATTTGCTTATCTACATGCATGTGTATAAAGCCATATAAGCTTTGGCAAAATTTGTCATCATTCGCACTGATGATGAGAATCGTTTTCTCGAAACATGTTTGCTGTACGATCGGGCTCAATGACCGTTAAGCAAGTTAATTTACCGTTATTCTAGTAAAGTTAAGTCACTTAACTTAAGTGACTTAATTCCTTTAACTAGCTATAATTCAGTGGTTCACGTCGAACTTTTAACTAGTTAAGTGGATGTATAACTAGATAAAAGTTCGACGTGAACCAAGCTAAAGTCGGCTTGGATTACAAGGACACGATTACGTAACGTAGGCATCTAAGCCATTGTTGTATTGTACCACCATTATCATCTTCTGGCTGACAACGACGTACTTCAACAATGCTAACAACAGCATCGAAGTAGTCTCATTAGTCTGGTTTTCAGAAATTATTTGTAATATTTTGGGTAAACACCCAGCAAACGTCCGTTTTACGAATAGTCGATATTACCAATGACCTTTGCCCTTTGCATCATCGACCAAGTAATAACGTTGAAAAGTCCGATTGCGTACGTTTTTCAAAGTGATAATGTATATTTTTCTTAATAATAAAATCAGATTTGTTGTATTTATTTATTGACAATTCAATCTTTTCTATTTCTGCTATAATAGTGGCTATTCATTCAATTTCAACGAACTACCACCAACGCCAGTCGTTAAAATGAGCGCACATGTTTACGATGACGAAATAAAAAAGTGTGTGGAAGTATAGTATATTTTCTCTATGGTGGAAGTCAGCAACTTATTTGACACCGCGAAGCTAGATTTTCGCGAAGTGCATACAACACAATTGAGCGATCTAAAAACTACAAAACAGGACAGAAAGGTCCATAAAGTATACATACGTTTTAATGAAAATTAAAACAATATTTTATTAAATGGAAGAATGCTAGCTAGCGATTAAAATAATTCGTTTTTTATCGAAGGTAAATGTAGCTAGGGCCAGGGCCTAGAGAATCTACCACTTAGATTGCGATAGAACACGCTGCTGCACTGGTCGTTGGTTCATAACTGGTCGGCTAGGTTAGATAGTGGAAACTCACACCTTCTCTACAGTAGTTTACAATTTTTTTTGAACGAATACCACTTGGTACTAGAGGTTCGTAAAATACAGTAGATGTTTTATTAAGCAAGCCTTTCCACCGTGTGACGTCGACGGCGTGAAACTGGCTGGCTGTTTATCTGGCTCTAACTTGGCATCGAACGCAATTAGGGGATTATCGTATCATGTTTCAAGACGGGTATATCTAGATAAAGTTCGACGTGAACCAGGCTTTTACCTTTAAGCAAGTTAATTTACCGTTATTCTAGTAAAGTTAAGTCACTTAACTTAAGTGACTTAATTCCTTTAACTAGCTATAATTGAGTGGTTCACGTCGAACTTTTAACTAGTTAAGTGGATGTATAACTAGATAAAAGTTCGACGTGAACCAAGCTAATGGAGCTAAGCAATAATTATCCCTTCTTAGCAGATTAACTAGATAAACAGTTGGCTTTGACTGAATCAGTTTGTTTGTTTGTTTGTAGGTTTCAGTTCTTTGCTCCAAAGCATTTCTTTAATTAAGCAATCAAACTTGGATTTGCACTTAGATAAAACCTTGAAATAATTAACAGTTTCAGTAGCACTAATATAATGATCTTTTAAATGTTGTCCTATGTTACCTTTACTGTGCATAATCATTTCTTATTTAAAATAGAATTATTTAATCAATCAGTAACTTGTGTTTTTTTTAATGAAATTAATGATTTTCTTTAAAAGATGCTACCCAAGGCGAGACTTTTTTTTTATACCTTGTTTGACAAACTCGCTGACTATTGTACATTTTACTGTACTGGTTTTCCGTTTTAAAATGTGTGCTCGTTAGCAATTTAGATTTATTGTTGATGTTATCCATGACAGTAATACGTACCGCGAAATACCAGGCCTCATAGTTGGTATTCGCCACGTTATTGGAAATTTTTATTTAAAATTTCGCGAAAATGGTTTATAACATTCCCTGCAAGTTCGTCGTTCAAAACTGGTGCCGAATCAATGTTTTAGAGCCTCCCATCAGAGCCATTAATAATAATAATATTAATAATTGGCCGCAAATATAGTAATAATATCTAATAATATTAATAATTTAAAAAAATACTTAGACCTACTCCCAGAGCTACTCATAGGACCTAAAAACTAATTTATTTTAGTTCTCAAATATGCATATCCTTTATGTTGATTTATTAATTAAATTTTTGCTACAAGGTATTTTACAACATTTATTTTTTTTTTCTTGAATTTTATAATTGAGGGCAATTTTTTATTTCTTGATTCAACTCTTGCTTATACAGTATTTAAATATTTGAAGATTAAAAATATATATATATCATTTCTATTACTGAATTTTTCATTGGGGCCATTTTTACCTACCTGTCATATGGGGCCATTTTTTCCGGGGCCATTTTTCCGCGGCCATTCTTACCTACATTCCTAAAAACCACATCTAAGGGCAGTAGACAAATACTTAAATCGAGGGGTGGTGCCAGGATTTGCCCGAAGGAGGGGGGAGGGGGTCTGAGTTCCCCGAAAGAGGATCGATGACAAGGAGGAAGATTTTTCTGACGAGAGCAAAGTGGGCGTGGTTGAGTGTCGCTTAAATTGTTCAGAAAGTGGTCCAGAGGGCCTCAGAAAATAGTTGGCACTGGGCGGTTTTAAAGGCTTATTTAATTGATTTTAAAGTCTACTAATATGTAGTAGCTGCAGCTGCTCGAAACACAGTACGTTGTTCTGATGGGACCCTCAACTGGAACGTATTCAAAAGGCTGTAGAATTGTCTTTTTTCTGGGTTGGGAGTGGGAAGTATGAAAGAGACCAAACTATGGCTGAATATGTAG